CGTTCCCCTTCCGTCAAATGCTACTCAAAAGGACCCTGTGGAACTGCACCCAAGGGTTTCCTAGCCTGCACGTCCTTGGGGAAGCAGATAGCCCTTTTAAAATCATTTTATTGGGGGCTCGTACAACTCTGATCACAATCCACACATCAATTGCATCCGACGTGTTTGTACATATATCGCCCCCATTCTTTTCTAGACATTGACTTTCTATGGAGCCTTAGTATCAGCTCTTTTCGTCCCCCCCACCCCCGGGATGGGTTTTTGTCTTCAGATAGATCCGAGTGTCTTCCCCTGTCCGGATGTCGATCACACAGTTGTAAGTCTCTCTACCACGTGTTAACCTAGAGGTGGGCAGTCCAGGTCCACTCCACGGCACCTCGGAAGAAAAGCCAGGCAACCTACTTCTGCAAACTCAGCTGTGAACGCCGCGGAGCACGGTTCTGCTGGCACACACCCAGGGCGTTGTCATGAGTCAAAACAGCCTCACTGCCATCTGCCCACGGCTAACACCTACAGGCCCCGATGCTTGCTTAACTGGCCTCCTGTTCTGAACTCTTGTTTCTGGTTAATAACGACGCTGTGGTGAATGTTTTTGCCAAACAGCCCCCCGCCCCCCAACTTGTATTCCTATTCCCTTCCATTAGTGCTATTTGAATCCAAGGTGGTGGCCATTTTAGATGCTAGCACTTAATTAGCACCCTCCCCTGCACCCCAACTTAGTTCTTGACCCTAATGGTCATTGGCAGAGTGGATGTAAAAAGGGGCCAGCCCGGATCGATTTAGACCCACGTTCAGGATCAGTGTTTTCGTATTCTGTGAGTGGGCCCTCGGGCACCCGGTGACAATCAGCGAGGGGGGGAGACCTGGGGCAGCCCCGGAGGCAACGTTGAGATTTCATTAAGACGCCTTTCTGAAGTTTGCCTGAGGCCTGCCTGCGTCTCTTCCCTGGTGAGGTCTGTTCACTGCGCGGCCGGTGTCCCACCCCTGAGCCCGTTGGCAGCAGGTTCTGAGATGTGGAGGCCGCTGGGTCTGC